TTTCCACTCCGTCAGACTGTTAGTCATGAGACTTTTCATTTGATTCATTGTAATTTATGGGGTCCGTATCGTGTTCCGTCCTTCTGTGGTGCACGATATTTTTTTACTATTGCTGATGATTGTTCTCGTGGAACATGGGTTTATTTACTGAACGATAAGACGTAGGTTTATTCCATTGTTGAAATTTTTTTCTATGATTAAGCGACAATTTGATAAGTTGGTGCGCGTTGTTCGTAGTGATAATGGAAGTGAGTTCATGTGCTTAGCCTCTTATTTTCGTCGTCAAGAGATTTTGCATGAGACTTCTTGTGTAAGCACCCCTCAGCAGAATGGGCGTGTGGAACGCAAACATCAACATATTCTCAATGTAGCTCGTGCTTTGCGTTTCCAGGCTCATCCGCCTCTTCCTTTTTGGGGTCATTGTGTTTTGACTGCGGTCTATCTGATAAATCGAACTCCTTCCTCGGTTTTACATGGTAAAACCCCATATGAGATTCTTTATGGTTCGACTCCTCACTTGTCTCATTTGCGAGTTTTTGGTTGTCTTTGTTATGCTCATAACCAAGATCGTAATGGTGATAAGTTTGCTGCTCGGAGTCGCCATTGTCTATTTGTAGGTTACCCGTTTGGCAAAAAGGGGTGGAGTTTGTATAATTTGGATCGTCAGATTTTTTTTTTTTTTTGTCTCTCGTGATATGGAGTTTCTTGAGACTAAATTCCCATATCAGTCAGACTCTTCTGGGCCAGACTCTTTGCCTCCGCCTCTTGTTGTGCCGTTTTCTTCTACGTCGGATGATGAGGAGGATCTTCCGGTTGTCTCTTTGCCTCATGTTTCTTCTGTTACTGGGTCTTCTGTTACTGATATGGACATGTCTGATGACAGGGGGGTTCCGTTACCACTACCCCTCCCACTCTTCCAGTGGAGCCCTTGGGTCGTGGTCATTGGACTAAGGTTCCTTCTGCTCGGCTGAAGGACTTTTTAGTTGACACTGTTCGGCACTCGACTGTACCCCCCACTGCCTCTCCCCAGTCATCTCCATCCTTCGGTACGCCTTATCCCATAGCACATTATGTTTCTTGTAATTCGTTCTCTCCAGCTCATCGAGCCTTTTTGGCTGTTGTCGCCTCTGCTGTTGAGCCTCGCACTTTTGCTGATGCCGTGACTGATCCTCGATGGCGAGCCGCTATGCAGGATGAGATTCGTGCCTTGGAGAATAATGGTACGTGGGATGTAGTTTCTCTTCCATCTGGGAAGCATGCGATTGGGTGCAAGTGGTTCTTTAAGATCAAGCATAAGTTCGATGGTACCGTTGAGCACTATAAAGCGCGTTTGGTGATTTGGGGAAATAACCAGGTGGAAGGTCTTGACTATCATGAGACGTTTGCTCCCGTCGCCAAAATGGTTACAGTCCGATTATTCTTGGCTGTGGCTGCTGCTAAGCATTGGGAAGTTCACCAGATAGAGGTTTACATGAAGTTTCATGGTGATTTGACTGAGGAGGTTTACATGAAGTTTTCCACTGGTTTTTGCTCTGGCATTGATGGGCAGGTTTGTCGTCTCCGTCGTTCTCTTTATGGCTTGAAGCAGACACCCACCATCTGAAAATAGAAATTTATTTTCAAATATAATATCGCTCATAGCTTTTTTTTTTTTTTCAAGTAGAATGGTTAATGTGTTCTTGGCAAATTGAATGAACCTCAATTCAAAGATAATGAACTTAGAAGAAATAGTTAGCACCGTGAAAACACGCTTGTAGCACGAAACTTGTAGACCTACCAGAAAAATATTATAATACAAAGTTCATAATTAAGCAAAATGCGCGAGATAAAGTAATGAATTGATAAAAAAACAAATTAGATTCAATAACAAATAATAAACATGACAAATAAATAATGGCACAACAACTACGGTTGAAAAAAGGAACCATACCACGAATGCTTCTCTGTTCAGAAATTATAGTACCTGAATTATAAAATAATCAAGATTAATTAAAATAAATAATTAAAAAAAAAAGGGAGAAACATATGTACTTAGCATTAAGACTAAACCAAACGACATCAAATGTGACAAAGAAAAACTATCGACCTTACTCTTCTCTCTCAGCATACGAACACACCCAAGTTAAGGGTTTTCGGGGTCAAAACTTTGGAGCATGCTACAGTCCGTGAATGTATGATTCTGTTTCTTAAATATTCACATTTATCGTTAGTCTTTAAATACATAGAAGTTTCATCTTAACTACACGTGAATTAGTGTAAAGCAATAATAGTTTTTGCATATAACAATAAATAATATAAATCTCTTTATTCTTACTAAATTCTTTTACTATAAAATAATTTATAATTTTGAAAATAATAGTAGATAGTATTTATAACTAAAGATATGAGTTAACATTTAATAAAATTTACGCTACATAAATTAACTTCACCAAGAACATAAAACATGTTTAATTATTTAAAATATTAGAATTACTAAAATGTTATACATGTAAAAATATCTAAAATGTTGTATTTGTTTTCAAACAATATATGAAATCCTAAAATTTTCTAAATTATTCATGAAAATATGTCTAAAAGCCATAAATTAAATTGTTCTATAATAATGTATAATATATATAATATTATATATATTGTTCTAAAAGCCANTTATAAAACTCTTATAAAACTCTAAATTATTATACAAGAAGGAATAAGTCGATTAATTTAAAGTTGACTAAAATTGTTTATGGTATTAGTAGTATGATAAAAAATTTGATATTTATGAAATTATTGTATAATAACTTAATAAATTATTAAGTAATTTTGATTTATGCTATTTTTTAATTTAATAATCTCTCCCCTACTCCCATTTTCTTTTTTTGCGGGTGACTGGCCAAATTTGGAGGGATGGGAAATTGGGTGGATTGAAATTTGGAGTGTTTTTTTTGTTTGTTGCGGTGAGGGTGGATTATAGATAAATCTGACAGGTTAGATGGTTGTATGTAGGTGAAGACAAAATGAGACTGATGGAATGACGAGTTTAAATTATGTGATTACTAATTATCCCGGATTTATTATATAATAGAATAGATTTAGAGGATGATTATTGGGGATTGGATATGAAAAATTAAATTAATTGGTTTTGATTTATGAAATAATTTTTTTAACATGACTCACTATGATTTGTATTTGTATTTTTTTTTCTTGTAAATTAGGTTTTTATATGTATGTATTTTATTCATTCTTTTTCACTATTATTTTTTTATTAATAAAAAAAGTATTTGTATATAAATTTGTAATAAATATGTCAAAGTAGAAATATAATTTTCAAATAACCATAACATTTAAAAGTCAAAGTATGAAAATTGACGTTAATCTTTTATGATAATTTTCTAATATAGGCAAAACTACAAAATATGGGCGTTAATGAATATTTTCTGCAATCGCAACCGGTATTTGGCATCATAAATTAGTGCATATAGTTTATAATTTTATTTTACTTGTCAATATAAATTACAATGTCTATTTTATAATCTTCCATATTTGTTTTTGCTATGTTAATGTTTCGACATATATTTTAATTTTGCAGTCTCAAATCAATATCGTCTTTATTATCATTTGAAATAGTTGTTGATAGCGTTATTATTTTCTTTGAATGGTATTTGTTATAACCAAAACCTGCCAATCTAAATTAAGTTTACTAAAATAGCAATGATGGAGACTATAAGCCTATGCCAGCGATACCCTAAAAATATATATACTTTGAGTTGAAACGATAATTCTTTTTACTAATAACATATAGAGCATATCAAAGTTCTAAACACACCTGTCCAAATATAGTATGCCCACTTGGTAAGTACCAGTTATCTATCGAATAGGCATAAATATTTAAACTCATTCGTCCAATTAGTAAAAATATTATTAGCATTTAGTGGATATGTATACCTACTTAATCCATAATATCTCAAAAGAAGGGAAATAGAAGAGTTTAATTATTTACTAATTTTTATTTATTTATTTATTTATTTATGTGGTAAGTTAAATCCATCAAAATAGAGTTAGATAGATAAAATACACCATGGTAATTAGTAAAATTATGACAACATTGGAAATTGAAACTGTAGCAAAATAAAGAAAATGTGCCACATTTTGGAAGAAAATTAAATGTATTTGACATATTTGTCATAATCATTATAAATACACATATTTTTATATTCAAATTTCATACTCTGAAAAAAAAAANAAAACATGATATTTCACATAATACTGCATATTTGTTCAAAAAGAGGAATCTAGGAAGACCTAATAACATCAACCCAACTACTGCAAACAATCCAAACAATTGCGATTCAGTATCTGAGTAGGAAGTTTCAGTCCAAACACCTGCCCAACTACTGAGAACCATGAGATCATATACTTGTCAACATGTTGAGCAACAGAGGCCTCACTAGTTAAGAGTAGCTTCATCCATTCACTTGTGGCGCAAGGATGCAACATGTACCATGGTCGATTCAATTCAGGATGCTCCTATATTTGATGCCCCACTTTGCCTCAATTTAACCGAATCAAACATTATATGAAATTACGCAAAAAAGTAGCAAGGAAATTGACATTTATCGTGCACACCACATGTTAATGGGTTAATATGATATTTTTAGAAGAGGGAGAAAATGTTTCGTGCTGAGCAGATTATATTGAAAAAATTGACGACTGTTGACAAGATACATTCCAAATGTGTGAAGCGTGTGTGCCTCTGAAAGCTGGAAAACAAATAAACAAAGATGAAACAAAAAAAATCAAATAAAAAATAAAATTTGAAGTTGAGGGGCAAAGAGAAATTAACCTCCTGAGTCATAAATGTCCATTTGGATTGAGCTAGCATCTGCGCTGAGTTAACTGGGAGATCTTTCTCGATCTCATTCAAATGTAGAGGCTGCCCATCTGAGAATTTCACATGTAAATTTGATTACTCATTTTAGCATATCCAGAATTCAATTTTGTTGTACAAAAAGATCAAGAGTTTAATTGCCTTCGCAATAAGCCCGGAAATGTAGCACCGGAACCCTATAAGAAGCACTATAAACAACATGGAGGTCATAGCAGTGTACTCCTGAACCACCATTATGAACCTACACAAAGCAAAATAAAAATAAATGCAGGGAGAAAAATGACATATCGGAATGCAATTACATAATGTATAAATAACTCAAAGAAATCAATCTAAGTGATTTTTTCTGGGATCAATGTAAGTATACAATGCAGATGTATACTACCATTAATTGGGAAGGAGAAATAATAATCTATCTAGCAAGCCGCCAATTTTCATTGAGCGTCATGTGCAAACAAGAAAAATGGGAAGAAGTTAATCATATCATCCCTCCCTATGTATAAATGCAGAGTTTCCCAAACCTACGTGTCATTTTCTAGTGCTTCGTAATCCTATGTGTCAAATTCTGGTGTTTCGTAATCTTATGTGTCAATTACTGATGCTTCTGAGTAGTCAATGTAGATCTAGACTTCTATCCATACCTATTAGGAATTTTAAAATTATAAAACCCTTGATTAACTTAAATTATAAATATATTTAAAAGTTAATAACTGTTTTATTTGATATCATTTTTTCATCTATGCAAGCTTCAATTTGATATTCATATTTCATATATAAAAAAATATAGTTATATTTATCTTTATTATAAAAATAATATTATCTATTAGCACTAATTGAAAACTAATAAGATTATAAATCAATTAAAAAAATATTTATAAAGTCATTACATATAAATTAGGAAATTTATTATATTATAATAATGGATAGATCGTTTAAGTGAAGAGTGTAATTTTAGATAAATAATAATGCAATTTTTTTTTTAAACTAGCACCCGTGTAATACACGGGTGTTGTACTAATATCCAACTGAAATAAAGTTAAAAGGAAAACTTTATTATGCACCTGATTCATTGTCATTCCAAAGCCAGCATAGACTATGTATAATCACATTGATTAACAATGAACATTTGCCAATGAGACAATGTCAGCAGCTAATTGATGAACCTTTTAACATCGTTATAGGTATATATGCAGAGTTGTTGCTTAACGTAGCGGATATAAGTTTCAAGGTCTGAAAACTGATAACAGCAAGTTGACATCAAAACTTACACACCACCATCTTTTGCACCTAATATATATCAAGAATTCAACTCGTCATTTTTCACACTGAGACTACACAAGGGGAAGAGATGCTTACCACAACAGCAGCATCAACGGCTTCATCTTCGTATTCATTAACACACTCTTCTTTCTCTACATTACCACCTTTGTTGCAGGCTTTCTTCGAGAACAGAAACACAGAAGGACCAAAGATCAGATTTGTAATCTTCTCGCATGAGCAAACTGAGTAAGCAAGCCAGATAAAAAGTATCCTGGATTTCATTTTATTTTAGTGAAGAACAAATGTACCCACCTCGGATAAGCTTGGAATAATCACATTTTCCAGAGACAAATATCCCACCTTCTCAAAAATGAAAAAAATGAAACAATTCAGAACTAGAATAAAAGTAAAAAGCAAGAGATAAATAAATCATGAGAGCTGAAACAATTGATTAATTGTTTTAATAGCTCTGTAAGAAAAAAGAGACTTATTATACTGGGTGATTAGGATGGGAAATCCATGGAAGTTTTGCAGAAGGAACCCACGACCATTGAGGAAGATATGAATTGAATTTTTTCCATTGCTCCGCAAAAGCACAAGCGGCAACATAGAATTCTGCAGCAGATAGGGTACCGTCCCAAGATTCTAACATATTCTTTTATATCAAACAAAGGATCGCATGAGTTAGTATTCCTCTTCTAAACATGAGAAAACAAGAAAGAACGATTATAGGCAAAATAGCAATAAAAAGCACAACTTTTTCCATTTAATCATCACTTTTAAAATGAGACAATTAAGTATATGAATTTACATTTTTTTAAAATCCAACTATAATGCTAATTTCCCGTGCCAGATTGAAGATTTAAAAAGTTCAAAAAAATAAAATTAAAAAAATCGAACTCACCAATTCCCCTTCCATAGCAACTTGATTCAACAACCTCGCTGGCCTGCTACCAGTCACCACTACCTTCAACCAAAAGAAACCCATTCAACCATAAGAAGGGTGAAGCACACATCTGTAACGCCCCATTATTTATAAATAAAAAATTACTGGTTTTAAGAAATTTTTCCAACTAAAAAGAATATATACATTTTCCAATTTAAATTAAACGGACATTACTTGAAAACTATTCTTTTTGTCAAGACAAAAATTAACATTTCAAAATATATATGTTACGATTAATCAAATCGTCATTTATACATCCAAATTGAATTTAAGTTACAACAGAATTTGCAGAAATATNAGTTACATCAGAGTTTGCAAAAATATAAAAACATAACTAAAGTAGACCACGCCCGTCCGCTCGTGTCCACCGCCAGCTCGGTTAACCTGAAAAACAAAGGGTGAGCACAGTCTCTCGGCTCAGTGGTAAAATTCATACTATGCATCGATTCAGTATAAACACAGATAGGATAATAATCATATGAACATGCAAAGCTCACTGTCTCACTGCTGACTGATTTCATCCGGCTTCAAGCCTCCAGATAAATTCGGACTAGTGACTCTTATTTCAAGACTCCATAATTTACCCGGCTTATTAGCTATTATAAGCCGATAACCTAAGTTCATGAACGTCGGTATGGTTACTTACTAGTGCATTCGGCATCAACAGATCCCGCTAATAAATAACTCTACTAGTGTCATTGGCATTATCCAGTCCCGCTAGTAGAAAACTTAACTAACAATTACTCGGCCTAGTGACTCTTATTTCAAGCCGCCATAGTAAAATGAACACATTCGGCCCGCCGGCCTACAATTACATGCATATAAAAACTATACTACCACATGTTTATAAAGAATAAACCATAGTATAGAATTTCCACCTTTCAACTTACTGAACGCCTGAAATGAAAGAATGAACGTGTGTCTGATTGAGAGAGCTCGACTCCTCTTAATCTACAATTTAGATATTTATCTTATTATTAAGGGGCAAATAGACAAAAGCAAGCAAGGGCAATTAAACATATAAGGCTGATAAAATGAACAGTAAGGTACACACAAAACTTCTAACTCTCTCTTATGTTCTTGAACATAATCACCTTAACTGGAAATGAACAACTCTAATACTCTTTAGCATAGAAAGCACACAAACTCATGCTCTTCACTAGGCTGTTAACTTTAATAAAATTTAGCACTCTTTTAACCACTTCCATACTGAGGGTATAAGCATCAAACTCAGCATAATTTCAACATGCACAAAAATAACTCATAACAACATCCACTGAACCATTTTCAAGCAAGTCATCTTCTCACGGCATACAAGCTCTCTTTTCTCAGCAAAACTAAAGCACACAATTCAATTCATTTAGGGCTTAAACTTTAACATGATTACTTACAACTTCAGTATGAACAACATACTGAAAAACTTAGGCTCAGCAATATTGAACGAGTCAAGGCAAAAATTACCATACAACAAGCCTTCTTCTTTTCTTAATTCCTTAATAAAATTCTTAAAGGCCACAACACTTAACTTTAATCTCTGAAACTTGAAACACAATTGCAGCATAAGATTCATACGATAAAGGCTACAACAACTCCATCAAAACAAAGCCAAAACATGTCAAAGTTCCCCCCCTTTTTTTTTCTTGGATTTTAATTAAAAACTCAAGCACACCTATTCTTCTACCTTCCCGCTAGTCTCTTCTTAACAGCAAAAGAACACTAAACACATTGAACTCGCCTTAAAAAAAAAAAGGAATAAACTCAGCTCAGCTAAGATACCTCTCTCGGGAAAAGGTGAAGGAAGATAGGCTCGGTGTCAATGGCTGGGGTTCTCGGCTCTCCGAAACGGCTCGTCTTGCTGCCGTTCCCGCCGTGTGTCACCTGCTCTCAACCTGGTGTCGCTGGTTCTGCTCGGTACTCGCGGGAGGCCTGGTGGTTCGTCCCGATGACGGTCGCCGGCCCTCGAATGACGTTCACTGCTCCTTGCCAGAAATCGGCTGCTCCCGGTCTACCAGAAAAAGGTGTCTCAGCCGCTGGACAAGGCTGCTTCCGGCTAGGTGCTGTTCGGCCTGCTTCAGTCACGGAGGAACTCGATTCTGACTCGCCGGAAAAATGGGGGTGTTCGGTCGAGATAAAATGCTGGGAAAAATAAAAATTGAGAAATCTGGAAAAATATTCTTCGGGGCAAAACGAGTGGCGGCCGAGGGCTTAAATAGAGAGAGATTAGGGTTTCGCCTTGGAGGAGATGTTGCTGCCGGATTTTGGGGGAAGGCCGGAAATCATGGAGGTGATGAGCCGCAGACCGATTCTCGCGAGATTTGTTGTTCTGCTGCTTGAAGAAATGAATGAAATAAGCTGAAATTTTTAGTCATGAGGAGAATGGCTGCTGCTTAAGAACTCCTCTTGGCCCGACCAAAATAAATGGAAAAATTGGGCTAGGAAAACATGGGTCTGTTAAGATAAACTACTACTTGGACTGAGTTTTGTATTGTGACAATGGGCCGAAATGATAGCTACTGCTAGGCGGAAAATAATATTGACTTGGACCAAGTTACTCTTAGTTATTTAGGCATATAGGCACATGAGACTTTAAGCATTAAATCAAACACACAAGATATAATTTCAACATGAATAAAGGACACCCTATGACCTTTTAAAATTATGTTTTACCTAGTTAGCAAACATCATTCAGTGTTCCATTAATACTCTTTTTATCCGTTCTTTGTATTCTAATAACTGTTTTTTCTCTTTTAAAGGTAATAACTATTTTTTTCTTTTTCTTTTTTTTAAGAAGTTTCGTGTTTATCTGTCTCACCCCAAGATCTGTGGCCTTTTTTTTCATCTCTCCATCCACAACTTCCCGATGGTCGTCCCCCTCCCCTTCATCACTGTTGCCTTTAACGGTGTGCGCCCCTTCGGCGCAGCCGACCTCCTGAAGATGGTGGACGATTGGTCGCCGGAAGAAACCACGCAGTGGCGGCATCTCTTCCTCGGAAGAAACCCCACGGCAGCGGCAACTCCGCCCCTACAAAAAATCCCAACGGCAAGTAATTGTCTTTCACTTTTTAACTTTCATTTTTTTGTCAGATTTTTTTTTCTTTCGAATTTCTACAGAAATTATGTGTTTACCATTTTCTCTAATCATGATCTATTCTCCTTCTTTTCCTTATCGTTTTGTAATTATATTTTTTTTTCAAATTTCCAATAAATTTATTTCAATCGATTTGTTCTACTAATTTTGTTTCAATGATATTATGTGGATATTTGTAATGGTATGTTGGAGTGTGCTCTTGGTTTATAATTTAGTTGTGCTCTAAACAAGACAATTGCAATTTTAAGTTGTTAAATTTCTATTGTTAATATAAAGTTGTTTTCATGTTGTTTTACCGATGTTATAATGTTGCTTTGTTGTTAATGTCTTGTATGTTTTTATGATTTTAAGTTAAAAAAAATAAATATTTTTGTTGTTTTTTAGTTAATTTAATTGTTATGCATGTGTATAATCAGTTAATTAATTTTTTATTTTTATTTTTATTTTTTTGGTGTTGCTATTCTTTAGGCATTTATTTTGAAAAGAAGAAGAAAAGAAAAGGAAGAAGAAAAGGGAGAAGAGAGGGAAAACGTGAAGAGAGAAGAAAAAGAAAAGGGAGGAGAGAGAGAAAACATTAAAAGAGAAAAAAAAAAGAGACAATAAGAAGAAAAAAAGATGAGAGAGAACAGTTAATTACGGTTTAATTGTTGAAATGTAACTTCTCATTGTTATCGTGTATATTATTTCGGAATGCATTCAAGTAATTTTGGAATTCTGTTGAATTAGGTTTATTTATAGAAATGAGTTTTAAAAGGTGGTTATCTATGTCCTTTAGCCATTTGAACACATATGAAATTAAAACAAACACTTGGGCATGTAAATATAAATGCATATAAAGCATTTAGAAAAATAAATTCACTTAAGCATTTAAATCAAGTAAGCACTTAAGCACAAAATCCATAATCACATAAATCAAATAATCACTTAAGCACACAATTAAGCACATAATTACACTTAGGCAAACAATCCAATTAAGCACACTTAGCATATACATACAAATTAGGCACATAATTCACTTAAGCATATAATTTGTACAAATACAATTAACACAAAAAGACTTAGGCAAATTAAATTAAACAATGAGCACATAATACAAATAAACACTTACGACAATTAAAAGCTTAGGCAAAATTCTGTTGAAACAAATAGCAAATAAATAAGCACACAAAATACAATAAAGCATATAATTAACTAAAGTACACATAACATTTAAAACAATTAAAAAAACAAGGGCACAAAAGAAGAAATAAGAATCGAGATTTAAACTAAGTCGAGTAATGGAATGAAATGAAATGCTAAGCTTAGTAATTAGAAACGGGGCGTTACAACATCAGCATCTCAAAAAATGGAGCATTGCCACTGGTTGGAGCTACTCAATGTGCCAACAAAACTATTAAAGAGAGAGAGAGAGAGAGAGAGAGAGAGAGAGAGAGAACAAAGAAAGTAAACTTAAAATTAAAGTAAAAAGAATCGAAAAAACAGCATGGAGAATATCGATAGAGGGTGGTTTAGACTCGAAGTAACATAGGGATTCTAACTGTGAGGTCAGTTTCCGAAGACACTGAAACAGCAAACGAAATCCGGCGAAACGAATGTTGACAGTTTATCGAAGTGAACCGACAACAACAATCTCTAAACAGATGCACCACACGGAGATAAAACTAAGTAGTACAAAAAATTAAGCGTAGTTGATGCCACAAAGGAAATCGGAATATCTACCTACAGTGAAACATGAATTTGGAGAGGGCTACGAACAGGAAAAACGCCACCGTATTGAGTCTGCGGTTGGAATTGGAATTCGGCGACTGGAAATTCTATACAAGTCGATGCTTTAAATAGTTTGCTATATTGTTTTATTTTTAAAAAAACGCCGACAAAGTTTAATATAATTAATGTTTTTATGGAAAAGCTTACGTAAAATATTGAAATAACACGTTTTTTTACGTTATGTTGCGCTATTTCACGATATGTTGCACTATTTTGTGCTATATTTATGCAACAACATTTAAACAATAAAGTATTCATAAATTTATATTTTTTAGGGATTAGATTTTAAATGACAACTAAAAACTAAAAAAAAATTATAATAATTTCAAATTAAAAGTGCAATATATATCGGTCCAAGTCTATTACATCATTATATTTTTGGGTATTCGACATTTAAATTTAAAAATAAAAAATTCAAATCTAGTGGTTAGAATTAAATTGTAGTAAAATTTAGAAATTAATTACAATGTATATGCTTAAAATTAAATTATGACTTATCTTA